GCATTGCATAAAATAGCATGACAGTAACATTACAGTTGCACTACATTACGATGCCTATGATTGGAGCTTCCAAAATTATGGGTAAAATCCTTTTGCCATGATCTAATTCTTCGTAAATGACTCAGTCGAGCTGAAAAATGGTCCATTTAAGACGATTTTATATTCTAAATTGCCACCTGTAATGAATAGATAAAGCGCACCTATGTTTATGCCTAGTTTTGAGGGCTTACTGAATTCGTTCAGAAGAGGTTCCGAAATTCCACTATCCTTCATTTTATGTCCTTCTTCTGTATTTATTTTACTGGACCTATTAATTTAAAAGTTGCTTATAAGATTGCTAATTGAGTAGGTTTCGGGTAGGTAGGCTTTTTCTCTCACAAGAATGCTGAGATTGTATTTTATGGCTCGTTAAAGTTTCGTTTATATGCTTCTCTTTTATTCCATTTATGAATGAATTCATCTTTTGGGTTCCTTTCAAACTCTTTCTCGATCCTTTCATGTTTATGCGTTTTCTCTCATCTCTTGAGATTCATACCCTTTTATGCCGGCTTCTTAGATGTCCTCTGAAACTGGACTGTCTTCCAGGCTGTTCTGGCCCTTCTCGGTGTTGCTGCCACCTTATTGTCGCTTTTATGTCCGAGCTGTAGGGCGCAAGCGGCTTGCTCCAGGTTCACTTCCATTTTCCACCGATTTTTTTCTCACGACAACTCTGTCGCCACCAGCACTATTTACTTAAAGGTGTTCGCATACAGGGTGTGCGCATACACACGCAGAGGTACAGTCTTGTCCGGACAATGTTCTGTGCACAAATGCGTTCTCGTTTTTGCGTTTGTATTCAACTTGCGTGCGCCCATTCACAAATGGCGTTGCCTTTCTCACGATCCTGACTAACCTAAACGAGCACATTGTACCCTCTATCTTTCACCCAATGCTAGCTTCGTCTCAGGCCTCGTTCCAATCCATACGGGCGTAGGGTTCTGACCCCAGATGCCAACGGCCTTGTACTTTACGGACCTATTGGTCCGTCAGCCTGACTCTCTGTCTGTCGGAGCCTTTTCGGTCATCGACCTTTGACCCTCAGATTGGTACGCACGTCACTCTTACCCATTCTCACACTGAAACATCCGCCCTCCCAGCCGACCTGTACCGCTCCCCATTTCGGCCTCGCGCATCCACTTTCAGCACTTACAGGCAATCTCCGGTAGTGTGCTTTTACTCTCACTTGGCATAGTCACGCAGATATAGAAAGAGATACACATACCTATCATATGCACATGAATACACAAGCGTGAATACCAACTCACCTATAGAGATGGGCTCATGCCCGAATACATCTCGTTTGAAAAAAACTGACAGCAAGCCCTGCTGAGTTACCAATTCTTTTCACTGTTGTCTACTCCTAAAAGCCTCAATACTTCCTGGCACGCCAACCACCTCCTCAATAGCTACGTGTTCCATTGTTCTAGCACGCATCTGTGTGTATTTCGACTTGTAATTTATTTATGTCCATAAATCCCAATAGACGACTTTGTAATTTGAGGCAGGGTCTCCACGGATGAAGACGCCTGCCAATACTCTTTCGAGAATAGAGCGAATATGAGGCGATTTATGATCTTATTCTTCACATCTCGTATAAGTGATTTATGATCTCGTTTGCTCGTCAGAAGGCGTGGAATTGAGAATTTTAGTCTGATTCATGCTGAGAGCTGAGACGTCAATTAGCAGTCTTCATCACCTTAAACGAAATATACTGAATACATCTCATATGTTGAGACGTCTGTAAAATCAGGTTAATTCCATATTTTTCGCCACACTTCCTTCTCGTGGTAAATTTGGTTGTTGGTCTTTTTCAAGACGTCTACTAGGCTTGATGAAATAGATGCCGGAGTTCAGAGCTCAATTGTCTTATCTTTTGCAATCCTTTGTAGTCCCAAGAGCCTAGTATTTGAGATTAGGATGGCTGATAATTAGCCTCCCCGTATGTCCATTTTACTTCCTCATTAGTTGTATCCGGTACATGTGCTTTCATTAGGGCTAACCCGCGAGACAGTAAGCAGACTTAGAATAAAGGATGCGTAGTAGATGTAGAGATGACCTCGTTGCTATTATGCCACTGGCTGTTGTCGTCTTTCAAGACGCGTTAGATACTTCTCAACACATACTCGTGATGAGGATGTACCGATGAGGCATGGATTCTTCTTCCACTGAACTCGCCGCGATTAGTGTTTTTTTCGGTACTGACTAGCCGTCTAAGTCGTCAGTAAATTTCGTTTTAATGTAGCTCTGTATAGTGACTAGATTTATCCTAATAGGCTATATTCTCACTTTAGTTACTAGCTGTGTTAAGTCGGTTTCGACTTCACTCATATCTCCGTCGTTGCCTTGGTGCGTGCATTATTGTGGTAACGCATTTACCTGTGCTTCCGGGAATTTGAAGGTGTCTATATAGTAACGACGTATGGATGAGAGGAAATAAGCAAAAATAGATGTAATGAATGAAGAGTTGGTTAAACTGTAGCTAAAAGTGGATATTCATACGTGAAAAGGAAGAATTAATAAATAGGGTAAAATATAGCTCTTGGCCTAAAACATTCCTTCTGCACTGATATGCTTATGATTTTAGGGTACAAAGTCAAATAAAAGCCTAGGGGCATTTGTATAAAACTAGTGCTGATAAAATTTGTTTGCATATTTTACCTTTTTGATCTACTACTGTTTTTTATACAACTTAGCTGAGGGATCTTTTAAAAGCACTTTCATGCTCTTCATTCCACTATCAAGATTTGTATCACTCGTAAATAAGTTCACCTCTAAGCTCTCTGTGCCCGCATTTATTTTGGTTAGTACATAATCGCTTTATAAACGAGTCAGGGCCTTTATTTGGCGATGGCTCTTAGGATCACGTCATTCATCCCGTCGCTTTTGTACCATCTTCTGCATCACGGCGTACACCCATTGATCCTCCACTTCGAGCATATACAGTATTCATCCTCCTTATGACGACAGACTCTGAGTAGATGCTTCGTCGGCAGCCGCTGTATCTCCACAACTTGCTTGGACGAGCATGCTCCCCACTTTTATGTCGGACACTCTCGACTCTACTCGTCTGTCCCTTTCAATACGATCATACTGGCTAGTCGTGGAGGGTTGTTGACCATCTGCATGCGTCGTGAACCTGCGCTAATTAAAAAGTGTCCCTTCCTCTAACCCGCTTTCATTCCCCGTTCATTTCCGCCTCTCCGCTTCCTTCTTTCACATCTCATTCTCACGCCTCTGGCCAATTCGGCCGACCTGTGACAGCTGTTGTGCCATTCTCTTGTGGACAAGCCAGGCTTTGGGGCATGCGCGCTTTCTTCGCCTCCTCTTCCCCTTTCACACCCTCACTTACCGCACAAGTTGCCTTTTTCTGCAACATCTGCTGTCAGTGCTTGTTTAGGCTCTCTTCAGGGGAATCGCAGACGCTTATTCTGTCCCTCCTCTTCTCTTCTGAGCCCTCTCCTCTCTTCACTCCTCTCACGCGACCAGCTGGCACCCACTGCCAGCTCAAGGGACTGTATGATGGTGCACACCTCCGGATTGTGGCACTCACTCTTGGCACATTTGTTCTCAATAAATCGCTTCAGGGGGTCCACTAGGGCTTATTTCTCCTGAAGGGTCTTCGTGTGTCTGGGCTCTCCTGGTCTCCTGGTCCCCTGGGCTACACGCCTGAGCTGCATCCCATTCTTTGCACAATTGGGTGTGCATCTATTCATCCAACCCGCCTGTCTGTCTGTTAATGTGTCTTTTTATCGTTCAGTCAATCAGTGTGCACGAAGCACTCACTTTCGCATGATTGGGGATAAATAAACTGACGCTTGTGCGTTTCGGGCATTTCGAGAATCACAGCATTTTTTGGCGAACCCAAACAAAGGCCTGGACCAATCGGTTGGTTACCCCGCGGCAATGAAGTTCTTTGATTATGGTTGCTGCCACTTCATGTCGGCTACTTCACCGTGTGTCTCTTCTTCCACTACTGCCTCTACTCATTCACAGGCGGATGCACGCACTTTGGGTCTCGTCTCGAAAAGAACTCCATGCGCCCTCGTATCCTTCTGGCCATTTAACTTGCCTTTTTTTTATAGTCACAAGCCCACAAACCGACCACGCTTCCTTGCTTTCTCTTTGCTGGCCATGCAGCTACAACGTTTCCCTCATACTCATGGGCTTTGTGGCTTGGTCGATCACTCCTACTCCACTCCCTCATCCGTAGCTCTCTCCCTCTAATGGGACCTGGTTGAGGATGCTTCTAGACGAGGTATGAGAGAGGGCAGCTACGGGAGCCCAGGCTGTGTTTGGCCTCGGATTACTTGGAGGAGCACAAAGCTCGTATGCGTGAGTCAGGCCACCATCGTGTCAGGGCCTGCGCTGCTATTGTTGTCTACCTCTTGTTGGGTGGGCAGAAACTGTGTGTGTGCGTGTAAGAGAGCGGGAGAGAGAAAGAAAGAAAGAGAGAGGAAGAGAGAAAGGACGTCTCATTCCGACCTCACAACCATGTCCTACTTTCTGGTCGGCTATTTAAATCCTCTAGCCCATCTCACGACACTGGTCCCCTCGCCACAAGCAACCCTTTACACATCGGGGCCATCAGCTGACGCACACAATCATCGTTGCACACACGACCCACAGCTGTCACATTTGTACCATCGCTCAAATCAGCCGCGCTGCCTAAACATAGACATACAAACAACTAATGATATATATATATATATATATATATAGACTATTACGCAAAATTATATCGATACAATTAACATCACGACGAATATACTATCTATAATGTTTAGCTAAGAGCACACCCATTTGGGCCCACAAAAATGCTGCCACTGAAGCACATGTCCACACTGACCTAACGGCAACATCAAGCAACATTTTGGCATACTGTAGCCAAAACGGAATCCGTCAACTTCTATACCAAGACGTCGGTCCCTTGCAGACGCTCTAAAAGCGCATGTATCTTTCAAACATAGATTGCGCCTACTTCAGGATGATTGCGTCTGTTGAAGACACTCTTTATTCAGATGGCGCCATTTTCCCCATACTTTAAATTTAGCGAAGTTTGCTTCACAAAAATGGTCAAATAATCAATTTCCAAAATATCCCACACTTTAGAGCGC